GACTGTGTGCCGCAGGGGCAGGCCTAGTTGGTGTTTGGCGATGTGGAGTGCCTGAGCGGGATAGAGGGGAGAAGTGAGGGGTGCCAGAAGAACCGTTGCAACAGCTCTAGGCAAAATGATAGATGCGGTTTCCTAGTCAAGGCTATCAACATTCAGGCACAATCTGTGTGTCATGTGAGTGCCACTTAATATATTGGGCCTGAAGATGCACTTGCACCAGACTCATTGCGTTTTCTTCAGTTTGATGTTCCCATTAAGTTAATCTATCAAAAGTGATGCAAAAATAGTACTAAATATTTTCTAATCGCTGAGGGGGGGTTCTTTACAGTGATACTAGTTTGTGACTTTCAATGTGACAGCTTTCTCAACATTGTTTTACATTAAGGATAGTTCTATAGTAGGCAGTTGCAGTAGGGTAACAGCAATAATGTAAATATTCAGGCTAAATATGAGAGCATGCTGTCATGCATTTAAGATGCTCTTAAGATGCTTTTAAGAGCTATGACTATATTCACAAACTGAGGATTTGACTTGTGGAGAAGCCAGAAGAACATCGCAATACTTTATTTTATAAAACTCCGCATGAAAGAGTTGAAATTCTCAATCATTTGCTTTAAGCATCTACCCATCAGTAACCTGTTCTTGTTAATAAAAAATTAACTAAATGAAATAATGGATTCATGTGGGATCCAGTAGGAAAGGCCTTAACATTCTTCTGTTTCATTAACAGTTAGGAATAAAATAGAATGGTGATAAAACAATTCGCTTCTTTTTGATGTCCTTATAGTTCTGCAGATTTGCCTAACATGGCCAAGCAAAATTCTCCATCACTAATTGAAGTTGTAAAACAAGTTGCAGAGCAGCAGCATTCACAAGGATCAGAGATAGAAAAGAGCAAAACAGTTCTTTTCCAATTGCAGGTAATAAGCCTTGTTTGGAGTAGTTTAATTAATATGATTTTTTCATCAGATGAGGAAGTATTCCTATGAACAAGAGAAGCTGATGGTACTTCATTTTTTCTGAGTGTTTGCATTTAAGTGTAAGGCAGCTGTTCTATTCCTGTGTGTGGCATTTAGGCTTAGCCAAAACTCTGTATGTATATTGTTATTTGTAAGACGTCAACATAGCTAAGACTTCATTAGAGCACGTTATAGCATAAGCTTTTATTTTTTTATTTGGAAAAAACCAAAACAAACCAAACCCCAAAAACCACTGAGATGGCAAACCCACGAAAACTCAATACAAAATTAGAGCTCTTTGAATTTTGCATAGTGATTTCCCGAGAAACTAATGGGGAAAAAAAGGATTTTAAAAGCATCCTTTTTGGCAGTTTTTCACCAGACTTTATAATTTTTTCTTAGCATCTTTTTAATACAAAATACTTTTTTTTTCTGTATGTTTGAAGTGGATGTCCTAAATAGTCATTAAATACTGGTTTTAATTAGTAATATTTTGCAGAGCACTGGATACATGTAGTTTTCATGAATACTATGTAATAATTTCTGTTCTAGTTTCTCACAGAAATTACTAAGCTTTCAATTATTATTTAACCTTTGAGATGAAATTTTTATTGAGAGACTTACATTTAAGGCTGAGGAAAGACACAATAGCATTCGCGCATTTTTGAGCATGGGAGAATGCAAATGGAAATAGTAGAGTTCCAATTATAACGTGCGAATAGCCCTGCAACTGAAATAATTGAGGTTTGAAGTTTTGTACAAAGATAACTTCTCTGAAGGAGCAGGGGTTTTTTATGAGAATTTTTATTGCTTAGGAATGTCAGTTGACTGGTCACACCTTGCAAGAAGCTTTCTCCTAATTATACCATCTGATAAAATAGTACAATGATGCTGCAACAATTAATTTGTGATCAAACAATTTAAACAAGCGTATCTTTTCAAAAAAACCCACAGAATTTGAGAGCCCTATGTAATTAAGTTAACTCATCTATTTTCTTCCTCTTCCACATCTTTTCCTTTTTCTCTCAAAAAAACCCAAACCCTAGGAAATTCCATACAAACATTCATGTTAGCAGAACAGCCAAGTTAAATAATTAGGAACTTCAAGTCAGAATGGAGAACAGCTTTTTCATCTGTATGTCTATTCCCGTGTGTGCATGTCACAGGAGACATGGAAAACAGTAATTTCCTGTCCAAAATTGAAAAGCTTTGCCATTAAGATCTTTTGCTTTCCCATCCTCAGTAAATGGTGGCTGGCAGTGATTTCCAAATTAAAAGTTACGCAGAAACTTTTGTTCTGAGCAGTTAATAATGTCTTAATCTGTTCAAGACATTGAGTAAGAGATTTCATAGCACTTGTAATGTTCCATTAGGGAAAAGATAATAGGTGACATAAATCATGATGCTAATTCTCTCACTTAATGCACTACTGTTGGCTATTACTTTGGGTGGGATTCATCATAGCTAGCTTCCATCAGCTCCAAGTCAGATGTTAAGTCTGTATTAGTCATCTAGGCTCCCTTGGTAGTCGTCAAAGAGAGAGGAGCAATTCTGAGGCAGCAGTTCAGCCCTCCCATCTTAGATTTATGTGTAGATGTGGTGCTTAGGGACATGATTTAGTGGTGGACTTGGCAGTGTTAGGTTTATGGTTGGACTCTGTGGTATTAAAGGTCTTTTCCAAGCTAAACGATTCTATGATTTCTTATGATGAGTTGAAGTACTACTTCCTGGAGTTGTTCACTTCTCATCAGTGAGAAGATGCGGAAGCCTTTGTAGGACTAGATACATATTTCTTAGGGGGTTAAAAATAGCTGGGATTAATCCTGCTCTCAAATACTACTGTGATGAAGGCAGGATTAAAAACTTCAGCAGAACAGGCTAGTTAATCTGCATCACCCCAAACACCCATTTATGTGTTTGTGTGGATTTGTAAGTGATTTTTGGCATCATTAGTTACTTATAGTCTGATCAGGATTTATCCAGATTTCAACTCTAAATAAACATTAGGATTGGGTTTGATCTGTCACATCCTACATATCTTGCAAATATGAGGAATTTAAAGTAATTTCAAGGATAGCTTATTCTATATTTTAGACTCCATCTAAGGGGAAAAGTCTAAGATAGTATTCTTGCATTGTGCCTCTAAGGTGATGATTTTAGGAAATGGAACTAATTATCTTCCATTCAAGCCACATTAAACAAGTGAAAAAGACGACTGTTGAATAAATATAAATTACAATGTTTAACTAGGTACCTAGTATCCTCTCAAAAAATGTTAAGTGAATGCTGAAATATTTTACAGGCAAAGTTTCAGGAACTAGAAAAAGAAATGGATTCTATTCTGTTAGAAACAAAGACGACAGAAAAGGAAATATATCTGCAAGATGATGCCATAGAAGTGACAAAATATCACTGTGAAAATCTGGAGGCCCAAGTCAGAGCCCTATATTCTGAAAATTTAAAGCTAAGGCATGATGCGGAAACAGTACAAGAAAAGTTTGAAGAAACATTTGCAAGAAATAATGAATATCGGGAAAAAATAAAGGCTCATAAACATCTTTTTTGGGAGATGGAAAGTAAAATGCCAGTTATGATTGAGCTTGCTAAAAAGAAAGCTGTTGTTAAAGAATTAAAGATTAAGAAAGAGGAGCTAATGCGTGATCTCCAGAATCCAGAAGGATCTGTTATAAAACAAGTGCAGGTACTATTTTGCCTCTTTGATTCTTTTCCTTTTGTGTGAGATAATTTTGGCATAGTTTAGCTAATATGATTATTTTGTCTAATATGTTTACAGTTCATGAAGGACTGACTACGGGGAATATAGGTAATTTATAATGCTATGTTAATTGAAGAAATTTTGGCTTCAGTATGCAGTAAAAAAAATTCATCAGCCATTGTTAACTGTATATTATTGTAAAAGTCAGATACATTCTATGTGGTTGAATTAACTCAAGTGTGAAAAAAATTACAGAGCTGTAAATTAAACTATATAATTACCAAACTATTTGTGGGCTTCTTTGGGTTGTTGGATAAACTTACATTGCTGCTTTTCAGAATTCTGTGGAATATTGCCGTGTTACATTTTTCATGAAAGAGCACAGTATTTTTTTAACTTTGCTGTCAGGTAACAAACTACAGTTGAGCTGTTTGCAAACAGGAGGTAGATTTGATGAGACACTGATAGAAAGAAGGAGAAGAAAAATATATTTGTTTTGGTATTCTAGCCTAACACTGTTGTTTTTACTTGGCCCTAGTTACAGTACTTATTAAAAACTACCATGTAGGAATTTTTCACCACAAAACCTTACCAATATATGAACAGCCACAAGTACAAAGTTCAAATGGGGTCACAGATTTCAACTCTGATGCAACTTGTGTTATTGAAAATCTGGTGTTACTCTATTCACGTAAATTGATGAAAATCTTTATAGAACCATAGAATGTCCTGAGTTGGAAGGGACCCACAAGGATCATTGAGTCCAACTCCTAGCTCTGTGCAGGAAAATCCCAAAATTCACACCATGTGTCTGAGGGCGTTGTCCAAATGCTTCTTGAGTACTGTCAGGCTTGGCACCATGACTATTTCCCTGGGAATTTGGTTGTACCATCAAATCTTTAAATGCTGATAAATAAAAACTCCTTAACATTGTATTTCCCTATAAGAAAGAAAAATTTATCTCAAATATTACATTAAATATTCTTTGATATTGCATAAAGTACATTTTAAACAAAATTAAGACCACCAAAATGAATTTGAATTCCTGTGTTGTTGTAGTTGTTTGCATATTTCAGATCAGGAGTATATCTTCTTAGGTATCTAAAACCATGTTATAAATTATTTTAATTATTAATTTTAATTACAATTCTTAAATTATTAATTAATAATAAATAATGTGACATTGTTTATTATAGATCTTAATCTCATCTCTGTTAATGAAGTGAAACTTAAAATGTGACATTTTTAATAAGTTTAATAGATGTACTGTGCAAATTTTTAAGGAGGGAATTTCTGTATCTTGGCTTACATCTTCAGGAAGAAATTACACTTTTGAAAAGGGAGATCACAACATTGAAAGAGTTCATCAATAAAAAAACAAATTTACTGGAAGAAGAGAAAAAAATGCATGCTAAGCTTAGAAAAGAAATTGAGGTGAGTTATTTGAATAAAATATAATTACAGTTCTCCTGACAGAATGTAGACAGTGCAAATGAAGTTTGCAGTACTTTATACACCGTTGCTGGCCATGCATTAATCAAGTATATACAGTAACCATGCTATCTTAAATTCTTGATACTGATAGTCTTTCTAAAATTCAGAACTTAATTGCTATCATGAGAAAAATTGAAGTTAAGAACATTTTTTTAAGAAAGTCTTAAGAAGGACTTCAGCTGTGAACTTTTGGAAAGATATCCTGAAAAGAAAGAGGTCACTGAATGGTAGTAAAGCAAAATGCACGAGTTTTTATTTCTGTTATACTTTTGAAATAGTTTAAATTTCACTGCTGACTTCATTATTCGTGACTTGTCTCATGGTTCATGATAACTCATCAATGGGAGAATCAGTTGAACCAAGAAAATGGACTTCCCGTGAATCTCCCTAATTTGAGCTGACTTTGAATTAGGAATAACACAGCAGCTCCTAATTAGCTGCCAAGATAAAATTCTGATAAATAGCTAAAACTTTCTCTTTTTAAAATAATTGAGCTGTATTTTACATTTTGTTCCTTACTAAAACACTTTGTGTGTCTAGATAGTTTTTAGTTTGGAAGTTTCAGATCATTTACCTTGTTAGTTCAAATAAATGCCACAAAATTTAATGAGCTGTCCTGATTTTGACTAAAACAGGACTAATTCTCTTTTCAGTAAATTTTCCTTCAGTTAAGTTTCTTCTAAGTAACTGCATTTTCTGAAGTTGACTACAAGTTCTTCAGACAGTATCTGCTTTTAGAATTGATAACATTTGATGTCTATGGTTGTTACCAAGGTAACAATAGGATTGGTATGCAGATAGGCCCATGTTTATACTTATCCCTGTGGGAACCAGGGTCACTGCTGGCTCTCTTATGGTCCACAAGTGAAAAGGTGTAAAAGGGTCGCACCTGCGGGAAAGTGCGGATGTGACAGATGACCAAAACCTGACCAATGAGGTATTCC